CAAAGGCCCGGTGTTGATTACACCGAAACATTTAGCCCCGTGGTGAAACCGACAACAATACGGGTGGTCCTAAGCATCGCTATATCTCGTGGATGGATCTTGCGCCAACTTGATGTCAACAATGCATTTCTCCAAGGATCACTCACCGAAGATGTTTATATGACACAACCGCAAGGCTTTGTTGATCAAGACAATCCTACACACGTTTGCAAATTGCAAAAAGCTCTCTACGGTCTCAAGCAAGCTCCACGGGCATGGTATAAGGAGCTTTGCAATTTCCTTCTTCAATCCGGGTTCACAAATGCTCTCTCGGACACCTCTCTATTCGTCCTTCATCAAGGCGACATTTCCGTCTTTTTGCTCGTGTACGTTGATGATATAATCATCACCGGCAATCAACCGAGGATGGTTCGCAAGTACATCGACATGTTGGCAGCTCGGTTTTCCTTGAAAGATCTTGGCAACCTCTCATACTTTCTTGGCGTTGAAGTCACCGACACTCCGAAGGGTTTGCTTCTCACTCAAGAAAGGTATATCACGGATCTCTTAACTCGCCACATGATGCAGGATGCTAAACCTGTCACGACACCTATGTCTTCGACAGCCAAGCTCTCCATGCACTCCGGGATAGCTTTAGATGATCCGACTCAATACCGGCAGGTTGTAGGGAGCTTGCAATATCTCATGTTTACTCGGCCCGACATTGCATATCCAGTGAACAAATTATCACGCTACATGCATCGACCCACATCGGACCATTGGCAATCCGTCAAACGTATACTAAGGTATCTTGCCGGCACGCGCTCCCTTGGTGTCCTCTATCCTCGGACGAATCCCATATCATTACATGCTTACTCGGACGCGGATTGGGGAGGTGATCGGGATGACTTCAGTTCAACGGGAGCATACATTGTTTATTTGGGCAGCCATCCAATATCATGGTCTTCGAAGAAACAAAAATTCGCAGCGAAGTCATCAACGGAAGCTGAATACAAATCGGTCTCATCTACGGCCTCAGAGGTAGAATGGATCATGTCCCTCCTATCGGAACTACGAGTTCCTATCGCATCAACTCCGGTCATATATTGTGATAATGTGGGTGCCACATACTTATCGGCTAATCCCGTATTTCACTCGAGGATGAAACATGTGGCCATTGACTATCACTACATACGAGGTCTTGTGGAAGCCAAGAAGCTTCGTGTTGCCCACATCTCGGCGTCAGACCAACTTGCCGACACACTCACCAAACCTCTCTCGCGGCTCAAGTTCGACAATTTCCGACTCAAGATTGGACTCTACTCTCCGTCCATCTTGCGGGGGCATATTAAGGAGAATCAATTATAGATATCAAATCTGCTGAGATTGTAATCTTTCCATAACTGTTTCCTAAACTATAGCTAAGTCTTGCTGTATATATCCTCATGTAACAAGTGTAAAGAAATGCAATATTATTCAAACCCTCATACCAGGGGGTCTCATCCATATTGTCAAAGAAATGAGGTATGGTAGAGGGGTTGTTTGAAGACAAAAAAAGAAACATAAAAACAGTCTTAAAAATGAAGAAGACCCATACCTTTGGCATAATGGGTATATCCTCCCGTGCCCATTTAGGCTGGAAGCCGATTCCCAAGAAACCAATCCCCATTTCCTCTGCGACAGCTTTTACCTGTTAACATTGATAGAGAATTGACTGTTTGCAGCATTTCAGGGCAAGTGAAAAAGAAATGATATGATTTCTTAAGTTACCTGATAAAGGTGTGAATTGACCTCAGCACAAGTTTGGTGCAAAGTCTCAAGAGGGGCCCCGCTAAGCTCAAATTGACCACCCGGTTCCAGGGATATGCTTTGTTTTCCCTGATAAAAAAAGGGACAACTTATCACCTACAATTAAATAAGAGTAGGAAAAGGATTTCATCATATAGCATCATCCATCTCGTGGAATATTCCAGCGAAGAGCAGACATATCCAAATGACTAAAACATATAAACAGAAGCTGTTCAGAAGAGAAAACACCAGGAAAGCAGTTACCTGCTTCAGACCTATGATTTTGTCATTTTCCAAAACCTTTTCCCAATCAAATCTCTCGGCAATACCATTGAGCAACTCAGCTATTTGTTCATACTTCATAGGACGCAAAGTATTGACCTCAAAACCGAATTTCTCGTGCTCTGTACCTATTCTGCAAGCACTCGCGAAGTTAAGTTAGCAAGATAGAATACCGATCAAACAGATACGCAATGTGGATGAATTTAAATCCAACGAACAAAGGAGCACATCAAAAATCAAGAGAGTTGGGCTCATAATGGGCATTGTACAACAAGCTCTCACTCTAGTTGACATAATAATATAAGTTAGAATGAGACTGTACCTCCACTTTTCCTTTGGTTTGCACCCAGAGGCAAGATAGCCAATGAGATCCTCTTTGGTCAGTGGCTCGGTTGCAACTGCAGCGTCTTCGGTTGGAGCACTTGTGGCAACAATCACTTGACGCCCTCTTTTGCTTCTTTTACCATTATCATTTGAACGGAGAAGCATCTTTTCTGAGGATTTGCTTCTAGAACAGAAGCTAACGTAAGTTTCCTTCATCTTTGACATCTCCAAGTTTCTCACAGACCCAGGACCAGCCTTGTTTCCAGTCTTTGAGCAGACAGCCCCTGAAGGGACACTGCATGTTCCTCCCGCCTGTGATACAAGCGCCATGGCCTACGTCCTGAAACTATTATGACCTGCATGCCACCGAATCCAAATACCATCATAAACATATACATTCTCAGGGAGACCAAATCAGCATGAGATTGACTTCGACAACCTGTCACCAATCAATAGTTTCATCTCTTCTAACTGCGTAAAATGATTCATACACCATGGTCCATGACTGCCATGAACTTACAACTAACATTTGATCTCCAGAAAATTTGCAATTCATCTATCGTTATCACAATTCGTTCTCAACATTGAATATCGCAGACTCTCCCTTTAGCCGCATCCAAGCAATCCAATCAAGTTTCGCACAAAGATACAAATCCACGGAAACAATCAAACAATGTTCCATTCAATAATAGCTTCCACATGCCACCTGCTTCCATCCGACAGCTCTCATACGATCGAATTGTCTATGATGATATTTCCGGTACATTTCACGGAATTGAGCCATCAGAATCAACGAATCACGGGTTTCAGAAAAGCAAAAGCGACGACAACCAAGATAAAGCAAAAAACTGATGAAATTCTACTTACAAATAATTAACGAAACAAAAAAAGACCACGCGAATCCACGTGGTCCGAACAAACAAATTGAAAAATTCAGAAATCTGCCGTCGGAAAACCAAAGACACACAACGAAGCAGTAACAACAATCACGAACCGACAAAAGAACCGAAACAAAAATCCCGAAAACCCACAAACGAATCGGATCGTTCAGCGAGCAAAGATTCAAGAGAGAAGCATCGGCGTCAGAAATCACGCACTGAGGCAACGAGAAGAAAATGAAGAATTACCTGAATCCTTCGAATCCAGCGACGACGAGGAGCTGGATGAAGAAGAAGTAAAGGGAACGGAAGCAAAAGGCTTTAGCAATTCGTTGAGATCATTTCCTTTTATACCGGAGCTCGGGAAAACAAATAAATAAGAAATGCTGTTCGTTCCAACTCAAGGCAAGTAGTGGAGCGTAGCCGTCTCTGAAAGAGTG